TGCTGTTGTCGCAATCTTTCCCCCTAACACAGTCCTCATGCAGAAACCAAGTGGAACCGTGACGAGCGCAGGAACCGGTGCCAGCTCTTCACGCGGCAGCACCGACAGTTCTGCACTCATCCCACTCCCAAATACAAGGTCACCAGCCCAAAACGCCGCAGTTCCTAATGGCCTACAATACAGCGGTCCCATGGTGAACAAGAGAGGGCGGCCACGCTGCCATCCAAGTACGACGGGAAGGGTGATATCACCTCTTGCATGAGCTCCATGTGCTCATACTTCGAGGTACTGCGAACGCCGCAGGAAGATCGAAGTATAATCATGGGCACAAATATTGAGCCCGTCGTACGGAGTTTTATTGAACTCAAGCTGTTAGTGCAGGTTATGAAAGAATTGACTGGACTGAGTGGTTGAAAGTGACTCTTGTACGTACTCTTGAGGACCACCTCATCGCGCAGTATCAGAATAAGCACACTGCGCTCAAAACAAGGCTGAAACTTGAGGCCCTCGAGGGCCAAAAGTGGAGGACTTCCATGCAGGCTTTGGAACAACATTTGACTAGTCTGCTCACTACTCCAAACTTGGGATGGGCTTACATGTCTTGCATGGACGTAGTAATGGGAGTACCCCCCGAAGATTATGTCTCCCGGCTACGACTCGAGATGTGGCGGACCCACCACGTGTGGTGCTCCGCCTGGGATAGAGATGGAGATGGAGGATGAGGGTGGAGCAAGATGACACAACGCAGCTCCCACGCAGACTCCAACGCACGTACTCCAAACTGTGTGAATGTAAAATGATCCAAGTACAGACTCTGGCTGGGGTATACCCCAGCGGACTGACTGGACTGGACTGGACTGGCCGATACCGACAGAGGTATAGGCCTGGACTGGCCTACCCCGAATACAACACAGGCCTGTGGGAACAGGCCAAAGGGCTGGTCTCACAAGCCAACCAGAGGTCCGCTACACAATCCTCAACCTGTGATGGATCGCCTAGATACAAGCACGCTTCCGCCAAGAAGTGGAACTAGACTAAAGAAAAGAAAATCCGAGTAATCTAGGATGTGGAGCAAGCTCCATGTTGAGTCCATGCGATGCAAACTAGGCTAGAAAATATCACAAAATCAGCAATGTCACAGCTAAAAGCATAAGTGAGGGCGTACTCACACAGCGGTGGCAATCTAGCAAAATCTGCCGAATTTTATTTCCCGTGTTTGCTGAAATAGTACCCCGCCTGGTCACACATGGGTTGCAAATCACAAAGGACACGAGCGGGACTCTCTGGCAATTGCAAAATTGCTGCCAATCATGGTCACAAAGCGCGGAATTTTTTTTTAACGATTCCCAAAAGGCTAAAGAGAATTTGCGACGGCCAAAAGAGAATTTGCCACCACCTCTCGAGGTGGTGGCAAAATGCCCATCCCCGCGCCCCCCCAGGCCGCTGACAAATGCTACCCCGTTTGCAATTTTGGTGGTCGAAAAACCCTAGTGTGACTCTAACAGCATAGGAGATTTTGCCATTTAGCAAAAAAAACCGCTAGTGTGAGTATGCCCTGAAAGTAGAAAGCAACTAACTAGTATACATGTCCTAGGAAAGCAAAAGGTAATGATAACTAAATCCTAGAATGTTGGAGGCAGTAGCCTCAGTCTGAAAACAACTGACTAGTGTACAAGTCCTAAGAACAACAAAAGCAAAAACAACTGAATCCTAGAAATGATAGAGGCAGTAGCCTCAGTCTGAGAGCAACAAAGCAACAACGAGACAACCATATGTCACAAGAGGAGTGTGTCGCAAACCAATGACCCTAACAGATAGACCACCAGGGCGGGTAATGCTCGACTAACGGGGTGACTGCTATGTAGGGTCGACCATGCAAGGGAATCAGGGAGCCTGGTATACTGGGCGCTCCTAGATGAAGCATGCAAGGCTGCCTGACTAGGGCGGGAGGGCCGGCAGAGGGTAAAAAAAGTAATGGGTAAGGGAATTATGCAAATGACTCCTAAAGTGAGGGAAGTCGGAGCTAGATCCGTACGCTGGGAAGCCAGGGCAACGCTACGGTCAAGATGCCTATGCGTATACCAAGGGAGAGCTCAACTCAGAGGAACCCGACGAAGGGAACCATCATGCGACACAATCAGGGTACTGTACAGGGTAAGGTCGTAAGAGAGTGACGACGCCTGAAGTAGGCGGAGCTGATCGTGGCGAAGGTCGTGAAGCTGCCAATGACGTCCATGATGAGAAATTTGGAATGCCGTCAAGGAAGAGCCGCAACGTCGACGAGCTGAAGTAGCAAAACTGGAGTGGATGGAGTACTGAGAAGTCAAGGACGTGGGAAGATAAATCACAGTCAATCGTCGTATCGGGCACAACGACGACGAGTGCTTTGTGGACACTCAAAAGCATCCGGCTGATGCTGAAGGTCTGCCTCAAATGGAGCAGGCTCGACTTCAGCGGTCTCCTCAACCGAGGGAGACGAAAGAGGGTCAGTGGGCCGAGGAGGAGCAGTCAACCCAGTACGACAAGCACAGTCATAGGCACGCACCAACATGCGAGCGTGTTGCATGTGCTTGAGGGGCTCCCAAGTAGCCTCCTCATCAGAGTAACCCTTCCAACATACGAGATACTCGACGTGAGGAAGGTTGTCGTCGATGACTCAGCGACCAATGATGTTTGAAATGAGGAACTTCACCATGATGGGTGGAGGGCGCTCGTATGGTCGTTTAGCGAAACGCTCAGACGGTCTGCGGTAGGGATGCAGTAACGAGACGTGATAGACATCGTGCACACGAGCCTCGTGTAGGTAGTCGGGCAGCTTCGCATGGAAGCTGACCGGGCTAGATGTCGTATCAGAACTGAGGACCTGGATAATGTGGCATGGGCCGAAGAAGCGACGTCGGAACTTGCCATGTGTGTCTGCTTCGAGCTGTAAGTGGCAGGCGTCGATAAGCACATCATCACCGGCTTTAAATGGACGATCCATCCTCGATCGGTTCACACGTGCGGCCATGCGAATCTGGGAAGCGGTTATGTGCTCATGCGCGGTCTTCATGATCGATGTCATGTGTGCAACCCAATAATTCATTGCGGGACAACTCATATCGGGGTGCACCTGTGACGGTCGAAGGAAGTCTGCGGGAACACGAGGGTGATAGTCGAGGTCGCAATAGTACGGCAACATCCCCGTGGTTGGCGAGACAACGTGGTTGTGGGCTATCTCCACGTGGGCAAGATCGAGATCTCACTGCTGGTCGTGTCGAACAATCTTTCGGAGAATATCTCCGAGAGTCATGCTCGTGACCTCGGTCTGACCATCAGTCTGGGGATGGTAAGACGAGGAGAAGCGGAGCTGGGTGTCGTACACCTCGTGGAACCGTCGCCAGAATCGGTTGGTAATGTGCGGGTCACGGTTATATATGATGCTCAGGGGTAAGCCGTGGTCACGCACGACTCAGTTAAATACGAGGTCGGCCACCTCACGTGCACTAATGGCATAGCGGCACGAACAAAGCGTGGTCGGCCACCTCACGTGCACTAATGGCATAGCCGCACGAACAAAGCGTGCTCGCTTCGTGAAGTGGTCGACGACGACCAGGATAGCATCATGACCGCGGGGGGTCGGAGGATGAAGAGGACCAATAAAGTCCATCGAGATGCTGCCAACGACCCTCAGGGATAGGAAGGCGCCATAGCAAACCATAAGGCAGGTGGTTCGCATTGTTCACCTCCTAACAGGTGGGACACTTGCGATGTAGTCCTTCACAAAGTCCTTGCGCTTCGGCCAGCCGTACAGGCGGCTCACACGAGCCAACGTCTTGTGGAAGCCCATATGACCGGCGGTTGCCTGCTCATGGAACTCTGCTATTGCCCGGACACGTAGTTGTCTAGTGGAGGGAACGCAAATGCGGGGCTCTCTGGTGCCCTATGAACCGTGCTTGTACACAAGACCGCTGTCCCCGAGAGTGTACTTAGGGACGTTCTTGCCACTCCGAAGGGTCGCATGGATGTCGCAATCGGGGCAGTGGCGGTACTGAGTGCGAAACTCATCGGTCACTGAGTGGTGGACGGTGGTGACCGAGATGCCAGCGAGCTGGATCTGCTCCAGATTATGATCAGGGCACCGGGATAAGGCATCTGCCACCTGATTGGTCTTACCCTTGATGTGCTCAGTGGTGAAACTAAACTCGGATAGGTCGCGCCACCAGCAAGCTTGTCGAGGAGTGAGCTTCGACTTGGTCAGAAAAGCCTGGACAAAAGAGTTGTCCGTGCGCACCGTGAATGGTGCCCCGTGCAGGTAGTGACGCCAGTGCCGAGTGGCATAAGCTACTGCGAGAACCTCACGTTCATCAGTAGTGTAGTTTATCTCGGCGGGCAGGAGCTGGCGGGAGTAGAGGGCTATCAGACAATCACCTGAGCAAGACTCGACAGTGTTGTCCTCGACGATGATAAGAGCATAGTCAATAGAAGGCTCGTCAGTAGCTGGACGAGTAGGCGGTAGGCAGGAAGAAATGGTAGGGGTAGGAGGTGGGAAGTGAGGGATGCGAGGATGAGAGGAATCGGAAAAGAAGGGGGAAATATGAGAAAGCACTGCTCCTATAGCAAAGTCTGACGCATCGTTGGTAAGGATAAAAGGGCGATCAAAATCGGGTAGGTGGAGAACCGGTGCACATGTCACCCCCTTCTTGAGGGCGCGAAAGGCGTCGTCGTGGAGGGGTGTTGAAGACCATGGCGGGTTCTTCCAGAGGAGGGTGGAGGTAAGGACTTAGGAAAACCTAGCGTATCCCTGAATGAAATTACTATAGTAGCTAGTGAGGCCTAGGACGCTGCGAAGCTACTTGGCAGATGTGGGGACGGGCCACTCCACAATAGCATTGATCTTCGCATCGTCCATCTGGAGACCCTGGTCAGACATGTAGTGTCCTAGGAAGTCTACTTCGCATTGGGCAAAGCGGCACTTACTGAGCCTGGCATAGAAGCCATGCTTGTAAGCGTTGTAGGACATCGCGGAGGTGTCTAAGATGGTCTTCTAAGGTACGGTTGTAGACCTGGATGTCGTCCAGGTATACGAGAACGTATTCGTCAAGGTTGTCCCTAAAGATATCGTTCATCGCCCTCTGGAAGGTGACGGGTGCATTGGTGAGGCCGAATGACATCACTGTGAACTCATAGTGGCCGAAGCGCAACTGAAAGGCGGACTTCGGCGGATCCTCTACAGCGATGCGGATCTGATGGTAACCGCTACGAGGATCAATCTTCGTAAAGAAGCGGTTGCCTGCTAGGCGGTCGAACAACTCTTCGGCACGAGGCATGGGGTAGCTGTTCTTAACCGTGTAGCGGTTAAGGCCGCGAAAATCAATGCAGAGACGGAGAGTTTCATCCGCTTTGCGAGCAAAGAGGACGGGTGCACCCCACGGGGAGTTGTTGGGTTTAATGAAACCCAGTCTCAGGAGCTCCTCAAGCCGACGCTTTAGTTCGGTGGCCTTGGGGATCCAGAGTCTGTAGGATGTCTGGTGGTGAACACGATAGTCAAGCACGAGTTAGATGGAGTGCTCGACGTCGCACATAGGTGGGATGCCGACGTACGAGAACGACAAGGGGAAAACATCGTGGTACTCTCGAATGAGGTCACAAACTGTGGGCTCCAGGTCGGTCGTATAGCGTGCGAGTTTCTCAGCGTCAGCGCGACGACGAGGCGGACTCAACCGACGGTGGAGGAAGGGAAGTAGAGATGGAAGCCATGAAGATACGAGGATCTGGCTCCAGGGAGATGAGCTCGGCGTCTGGACAGGGTGGATCATAGTGCAAGAGATCCGTAACGTTCACTGTAAAGAAGGTGACGTCGTCCTGTCGGATGAAGTGGGCGAACTGCCGAGGCGAGGTGACGATGATAGTGGGAGATGGTGTAGGCACGGATGGCTCCAGGGAAGGAGAATCGGGGTGTGGTGTCGCAGTGATACCTATAAAAGGTACGCAATAGGTTTCGCCACACTTCGTTCTGAGAACGAGAGTGTTGGTCGCCCAATCGGCCTCGATGCTACGAAACCTACGAGACAACGGAGTACCGATAATGAAATCGTACCCCGTCTCCATCACATCGAATTGTGCAAAGGAGTGGTGGCGACGAAACGCCGCGGGAGGATCAGTCGGCTCCAGAGTGAGGAAGAAAGGGAGGTCGGTGACCGTCTAAGGGTGACGGAGATGGGAGTCGAAGACCCTGTTGGGGTAAGCGTGCTTCCTTCACCACACGTGGGTGAATGAAGTCGCCCTGAGAACTAGAATCCCAAAATGCTAAGTACACCCTCGTGGAGTCCCGAGTCGTACTGGAATGATCAGGAGGGTGCGATCAAGGTCAGAGAGGATGGCGAGAAGGCGACGTAGTGCAGCGACATGGAGGGTGAGTCGCTCCTGACGAGCCTGGAGCATGGTCAAGTCCAGAAGGGAGGACACAACGTCCTCGCGAGTCGGAAGTTGTTCGCTTCAACGGGCTGAGCGAATGGCTTAACGCGTCGGTAGTCGTGGAGAGATAGGAGGGGAGACGGTGGTCTACGGAGGCGCATACGGTACTACGACAGAGGGCCGAGTCCACTCTGTCGGGTCCTGCGATACCTCAACTCCAGTAGAGAGAGGGGCAAACCGCGACGGAGATGTCGGGAAACCGACTACTGAGGAGGGCGCAGGTGTACAGTGCACCGTGGCTAGGAGGCGCCGCGGGAATGCGAGTCACCGGGGGGGGACTGAGCAAGACGCTAGTGGGAAAGCTCACCGTAGTGGTGGTCAAGGGCAGCGGTGTAAGGGCACCGCGAGGAGGTATGACTGTCCTGGCGGGAGCGCAAACACCCACACCGGCCCAAAATGGTCGTGCGCTCCTCAACGGAAAGGACACCGTGCGGAGGGACAAAGCCCTGAGGAAGGTCTTGCTGAGGGACCTCGGGGGGTGACGCGCCAGCGTGACTAGAGCGCTGCGTGCCTAAGAGAGGGTGGAGAGGGCGAGCTGGAGTCGTTCAACTATAGGGAGGGTGGAGTCCTCCAGATGGTAGTGGATGGCCTCGCAGAGGTTGGGGTCGTCGTTGTGGTCACACTCGAGTGACAGCAGGGCAACAACGTCCTGCTCACCATACTCGATCGCGCTGAAGTGACACGAGAAGTGGCGGCCAGTACGTTGAGGCTGGGAGGAGGAAGTGGGTTGAAGACGGGCCCACATCCGCTGATGGGCCCTGGCGGCCTCGTAAGCTTGCGGGGCCGATGTGAAGTCATACCGCCATAACTCGGAGCGATACTCAAGGGGAAGGCTGGCCAAGAAGCGATCGATGAGGGCAGCCTCGGGGAGGGACGCCACATCGCCAATGAGGCGGGCGTCCTGAAAGACCTGGATGTGGCGGTCCAGGCCGGCAGCGCCACTAGAGTCGGACCATCATGTACTGACGACACGCTCGAAGGCGTCAGTCACGTCTTGTCAGGCTCAGAAGCGATCCTCAAGGAACGCCTGGAAATCCATGAAGGTCGGGGTCCGACCCTCACAAAGGGAGCGAGTATAGAAATCCTCCCAGGCATCGAAAGGACCTCCACGCAGGCGCGTGGAGAGGTGAGCCACCCACTAGTCAGGTGGGACGCCTATAAGTTGGAGCGTGTGGGTGGCAGACTGCAGCCACCTAGACACGCGTATCCCTGTACCGTCATACAAGGCAATGTTCGTCAAGCGGACGAGTGGTGCGCCACTGTTTTGGCGGCGAGGAGATCGAGGAGCAGAGGCCTACGCTACGGTCGAGTAAGTCGGCGCAGGTCCTAGGGAAGGGGGCGCAACTGACTGTACGCCCGGGCCGCATGGTGGAGCGGCGGGGGAAACAGCAGCAGGTTGCGCGGGAGCTGCGGTAGAAGAGGTTGCAGCAACCGATGGAATAGGAAGGAGATAGGGGGGGTGGAGGGGGTGGGGGGGGTGCAGGGCGAGAGAAGCGAGCCTGCATGGAAGGAAGAGTAGAGGAAGAACAGGGTGCGCCCGAAGGCACGGCCACCTGTGAGGGCAGGGGTGGTTGAAGGCGTAAGAGGACGAGGTCGGCCCAGATTTGGGCCAGGTCGGCCTCAAGACGTCGAACATAGATCAAGCGAGGAGTAGGAGTAGGAGGAGTGGGGAAACTGGACGCACGAGCGGCGCGGGGCATCCCATAAGGGGGAGAGCCAGGTGGCGCGCCGGTCGTGCGAAGGGGAGGGAGAAGCGGGGCACCCGAAAAAGTTGAGACCGTGGCAGAGGGTTATGGTCCCGTGGCTGTAGTGACCGGAATCTGGGCGGGGGCGCCCGTAGAGTGACGGAAGGCCTGGCCTGTGGCGGCCGTCACGCTAGGAGTGCGGAAGGTCACCACGATGGTCGGATCGATGGCAGCGGAGGAGGAAGCTCCACCGTGGCCACCATATCGGAGGACGGGGGACCCGAACTGGGAGCCAGGAGGAGAGAGGGAGTTGGGCGAGGAAGGACGGGCAGCGTCCTGAAGTTGCCGCATGCCAGCGGCAAGAGTCGCCACCGGCGCCTGTAAGGGCGCAAGGGTTGCCAATTGCGCCCGGATGGGCGCGAGGAGGGAGGTGAGGAGGGTGCGCAGATCCCCCTGGGGCTGATGGCCTTGGTCCCCCGGCACAGGTATGGAGCCCTAAGTTGAGGTCGTCGCCTCATCTGCGGCTTGGGACACGCCATTGGTCATGGGGAGGTGACGGGCCGAGCTGGAGGGGGCCAGAGGAGGTCCGCGTGAACGGAGGGCGTAGGGGGGGGGTTGCGGTAGAAGGCGACAGGCGACGCTAGCAAGTCTAGCGCAGGCGTCGTCAAAGGGTAAGGGGTGGTTCGGGTCCAAGGTGCCCGAATGGGAAGGGGACGTAGGGAGAAGGGGTGATGTGAGAGTAAGAGGGGTTAGGAAAACCCTGGACCCTAAAAAAACCCTGGGAAAACCCTAACCGATGGTTAGGGTAGGGTATCAGTGACCTAATCAAGAAAAGAAAATAGCAACCGTGGAGGGAAGGGGGAGAGAAAAATAAATAAACAATGAAATTTCGAAAAAAAAAATTAAAATAAAATAAAATAAAAATAATTAAAGAATTAAATAAGCAAAATGTGAAGAGAGAAATAATTATTTATTTTTTTGGAATTTTCGGCATCATTTCCTTACCCCCCATGGGGTCAAGAACGTGCCAAGAGGAAGAAGAGACCAAGATAAGCACACAAAGGTTCAAAATGCCACAAATTATAAATTTCAGAAAATAAATTAATAAATAATAAGTAAATAAAGGAATAAATAATAAGTAAATAAAAAGATAAATAAATAAGGAGGTGAAGAGTGAAAAGAGACTAAGTGTTGAATTTTTCAAAATTTTCGGCAGCAATTCGTTACCCCCACGGGGTCGAAGTGTGACGGCAAGGATATGACTAAGTAAGATGTAGAGAGTGGGGAGAAAAGAGAAAATTCTGACAGCACTTCGTTACCCCTACGGGGTCAACATGTGCGCCGAGAGCGCAAATAACTAAGTCCTACTGCCGCAGAAAAAAATTGAAATTTCAGAATAAATAAAAATAAAAAGAGAGTGGAAATAACTAAGTCCTACCAGATCTAGAGATGCCGCAGAAAAAAAATCAAAATTTCAGGGAAAAAAAAAATCACAAAATGAGAAAGGAAGTAAAGAGAAAAAGAAAATTTGAATTTTTGAAGAAATAGGAAATTTAAATCAAAAGAAAGACAAAAAGAAGAAAAACAGAAAAATTCGAAGTTGGGAGGGGAAGGGGATGAAAAAGTAACGAAGGAAGAGAGAAATAGGTGAGAAGGAGAAAAAGATGGAAGTGGAAGGTGGGGGGATGATGGGGTTGTAGTTGGGGGAGAGGAGGGTGAGAGAATGGAAGAGAAAGGGATGGAAAAGGTGGAGAGTAGTTGAAGAGATTAGTAGAAGATGGTGAGTGGGGAGGGGAGGAGAGAAAGGATGGTGGAATATGAGTGAAGAGGGAGGTAGGAGGAGAGAGGAGTGGTAGAGTCAGAAAAAGTGATTAGATGGTGGAGGGGGGAGGAGAGAGAGAGAGGGGTGGGGGAGTAGGTTAGTGGGGAGTGATGATACCAAGCTCTTGGTTGGCCAAGAGCAACAAGATCACCAAGATCTACTGGATCTTGGCCTTCAAGATGCTGGCAGCCTACTGCTGCAGCAGAAATGTTGGAGTAATCAAGGGTTGGTTGAGATATTGATCAGCCAACCTGGTTGCCTGGCGCGCAGCCCCCTAGCCAGGGGGGTCTTCACTGCTGGCAAACTGCTGGTGCAGCAGTACAAAAAATAATGGCCAGCATCATCATCAGCAGTTGGGTGTGCTGAGATCTTGATCAGCCACCCAGATTGGCCTGTAGTGCAGCACCCTAAGCAGCGGAGGGGGTCTTCAGGTCCACAGCAAGCTGCCACGTGGCACTGCAGGCTTCTTGTCTTCCTCCCCCTCCTCCTCCTCCTCCTTTTTGGGTTATTTATTTTTTATTTGGTCCACTTCC